TCGTGAGAGTTGTCCTGGCGCCAATCAACGAAAGATTTTCAATGATGTGAAGAACAAAGGGTTGCCAAGTCGGTCATTGAGGAAAAAGATGTGAAACAGTGATCCTTGTGACGGAAGTACTGTGCTTGACACGTGGTATAATGGGTGGCAAGGGGAGAGTGACAGAGTCACAGGTGACCTAGAGAGGCACAGGTGGATTCGGACCCAACCACAAAGCCAACCCTGTGGAGTCCAAGGTTCCATCTGTCCCGTAGATACCCTTTTTTGGCTCTTTAGTGATGAGCTGATCAATTTAATATCTTGTCGTGGATCCTTCAGTTTATTGTTGTTTTCTTTCCGATAATCTTCACAGTAGAACAAAATGTAGGGCAAGTTAACCCGCTTTTATTTTTAAAAAGTTCAAATAATGTGTTTTGAACCGTCTTAAATTGAATTAAGTCCTTTCTATTTATTATAAAACTCGATTCAAGCTAGAAATCAGATTAATTGAGTTTCAAATTAATTAAAGTCACCTTAAGATTTTTTTTTTTTGGTTGAATGCATGCTCTCCATGATTGAACACATTCAACTTCACTACCCCACATCAAATGAAATGTGGAAGCTAGCAAGTTCATATTACCATGCATACACACTTAAAGCGGTTTTTAATTACCTCTTCAAACAACCTCTTCAATCCTTGCCTGACAAGGAATATCTTTTCACGTGGAACCGTAATCATAATGTATAAAAATTAAACGAAATAAAAGATTTAAATTTTCATTGTGAAATTATTTTATAGATAATTTTGTATAATTAAATATATTTTTGCAACCCAACTGTTAAATCAGTTCAAATTTTTTTGAGTAGAGTAGCTTAAATCATATTATTATAATGGTGCCTTGGTCGCTTCGTCGTTGAATATATATATATATATATATAGAAACAGCATGCAAGTGCAATATTAAGGATGCATTTCCTCTCGCGTAAGTGGGGATGTAGAATCTATGATCTTAATTTGTGCTCAACACACGAGGACATGGAACCTGTTTTTGGCCGGCTTGTCTTCGTTCCCGTATGCTTCGACTAGATCTACAGGCAGACATCATCCATCCCAGGGTAAGAACAGACCTTGTCTTAATTTCAAATATCCATCAATCACCTATTTGGCAAGAAAAATCAACAAGCCATGCATTAGATATCACTATCGATTCCGGTAAACAAGCTAAATAGTCAAAATTCAAAGTTTCCCCTTGAGCACTCTCTCATAACCTTTGAAACTCTTTAGATATTCCTAGAGCGCCCGCCTAATTTATTACAACATCTTTTTTAGTTATTTAAGAAATAATCAAAGATAAACAGTCATTTTGAATTCAAAGTTGCGTTTCCCATACATTTGACATCTCTTTTTGTTTTTTTTAAATTGCTTTTTTTATGTATTTGAATTGTTTTGATATGATAATATAAAAAGTAATATTTTAAAAATAAAATATTATTATTTCAATATACTTTCAATCAAAAAATATTCTCGACCATTACTATACACTATCAAACACACCTCCTTGAAAGGAAACACACAGATCACAAAGCTTAATGACATAGGAGTAATAAATCAACGTGATTTTCTTGTCGTTTTTATACAGATTACAGCCAGAGGGCTCAATAATGCCTTATTAACAACGAAAACACCCATATAATTAGATCTTACCAGGACAGACCATTACCAATCAAGAAAATATAAAGAAACACACAAATAAGAAAAGGGTCAAATGGCCGGCCTCCTTATAACACAGCTCATGATTCGTAGGACTAATTGGTCGATCACAACCTTGACTTCCATCATTTGTCGCTTTGCCTACTCTCAACCCTTAATTTCCTAGTCTTTGACACCCTCTTAATCATTTCCCCTCCACTCTTTTTGGTTCAATATTTGATGCTTGAAAGAAAACTTCACACATCTTCCTTGTGGCTCGCAAGGTAGCATATTGGCACCTGATGCTGCTGCTATTTTACATCTTGGTCACGGCTTGCCAATTTTTTGTCACATCACATGGTGCAACTGATGCTGAAATCCTTGTCAACTTCAAGAACTCTTTGTCTACAAACTCCTTGCTAAGCAATTGGAATGTGTCAGGCAATCCTCCGTGCAATGGGAGCACCAATAATTGGGTTGGTTTGCGTTGCAATGGCGATGGTACCATCTATAAGTTGCAACTTGAGAATATGGGCTTAACGGGCACCATTAACAGAGACATCTTGACGCAATTGTCGAAGTTGAGAGCATTAAGCTTCATGAATAATAGCTTGGAGGGTTCAATGCCTCAAGTGAAAAAACTTGGCTCCTTGAAAAACTTGTTTTTGTCTAACAACAGTTTCTCAGGTAAAATTCCCGAGGATGCATTTGATGGCATGAATTCATTGAGGGAAGTTCATTTGGCACATAATGAGTTTACTGGTGGAATTCCAAGATCACTTGTTTCCGCGCAGAAACTAACAAAGTTGAGTCTTGAAGGGAATCAACTTGATGGGAAGTTACCTGGGTTTCCTCAAGAAAACTTGACTGTGTTTAATGCTGCAGATAACAATTTCGAGGGTCAGATTCCTGCTAGTCTTGCTCACTTCAGTCCGAGCTCTTTCACAGGTTAATTCGTATACGTACCATCTATGCTTTTCAATCCAATCAAATCTTTTCATGTTCTCATAAATCTATTTTGGATGCGAGTAGAATTCCTTTTCTGTCTTCTCTCTTGATACTTATTTGAAAACTGGCCTAAAAATACCCTGACGAGTAAGTGACCTTGTGACTGGAAATCAAATAAACTAGCTGATGTACATGAAAATTTAGTTAATTTAACAATCAGCTATATTATTATTCCATATCTATAATATCCATGAATCATCTTTCTATGTAAGTGGTATGATGTTGATCTGATTCTGGTCGTAGAAGTCAAATTACGGACCATAAAATGAATTTCTCTGCAGAGAATACTACATATATTATGGCTGCTGCAATATTTAATGCATTCATTTTCATATGCATGATGCAGGGAATAAAGGGTTATGTGGAAAGCCACTGCCTGCATGCAAATCATCCAAGAAAAAGACCATGATGATAATTGTGGTTACTGTTGTAGCTGTGGTTGCATTATCTGCTATTGTTGCCTTTTCCTACATCCGTTGCCGCACAGCCAAGACACCCAAATTCAACTATTCCGAAAATAAAATTGTCATGAATGGCGTTGGCAAAAAGGAAATTCAATCATCAGATCAGTTTAGTGATGGAAAAACGGTTGATAATGGGCAGTTGCATTTTGTAAGATATGATAGGGGTAGATTTGACTTGCAAGACCTTCTTAAGGCCTCTGCTGAGGTCTTGGGCAGTGGTACTCTTGGTTCATCTTACAAGACAGTTCTTTCGGATGGACCTTCTATGGTTGTGAAGAGGTTTAGGCATATGAGTAACGTAGGGAATGAAGAATTTCATGAGCACATGAGAAAGTTGGGAACATTGTCACACCCTAACTTGCTCCCTCTAGTGGCATACTACTACAGAAAAGAAGATAAGCTTTTGGTTTCTGACTTTATTGAAAATGGCAGCTTGGCTTCTCGTCTTCATGGTAAGTATTCTCTCTTCAACACTCACATAAACCAATGGAAACTATTTTAGACAATCATCCACTCGTGCGTGGAGGAAGGATTCTGAACCATTTGTCTTTCACTATGATGGACAGACGGGATTGCCTTGGGGTATGGATCATTGTTTATGATCACAATTACATACAACGAAAAGAAAAGGGTGCTAATACATTGCTAATGTTTATCCGAGTAATTTTGCTGCATTGATGGATTTATCTTTCAGCCAAGCGTGCTCCGGGAAAACCATGGCTTGACTGGCCAACACGGCTGAATATTGTCAAAGGAGTTGCCAGGGGGTTGGTCTATCTCTACAAAGAGTTCCCAACACTAGCTCTGCCTCATGGTCACCTAAAATCCTCCAATGTGCTTCTAGATGATACATTCGAGCCCCTCTTGACAGATTATGCTCTAGTTCCTTTGGTTAATAGAGACCATGCTCAACAAGTTATGGTTGCCTACAAGTCACCTGAATTCACTCACTCTGACCGCACTACAAGGAAGACTGATGTGTGGAGTCTTGGTATACTAATTCTGGAAATCTTGACAGGCAAGTTCCCTGAAAATTATCTAAAGCAAGGCAGGGGTGGTGATGCAGATTTGGCAACTTGGATTAACTCAGTTGTTAGAGAAGAGTGGACAGGAGAGGTATTTGATATGGATATAATGAGGACTAAGAATTGTGAGAAAGAGATGCTAAAGCTGTTGAAAACTGGGATGTGCTGCTGTGAATGGAATATGGAGAACAGGTGGGCTTTGAAGGAGGCTGTAGCCAAAATTGAGGAATTGAAGGAGAGAGACAATGACAATGACGACTTCAGTAATTCCTATGCAAGAGAAGTCTATTCTTCTAGAGCAATGACTGATGATGATTTCTCTTTCTCTGTCAATGGTTGAATTGAATGAATAAAACTAGCTCACTACTGTTATTTTTCCAAAGTATGCATTGGCCCAAGGGTTGGAGTAGGTACATTAAGATGAAAGGATATAGTTTGTTGCAAGTGCCTCTTTATTTTGCCCTAATTCATATTTGCCCATGTAATGACACTGGTCGAGTTATATTTAACTTCTTTATGTCCTCTTGCTCCTACATGGCGGTGTAAGCAAATCTTTCTACGCTTTTGACAAAATCAGGGAGGAAAACCCAAGATAATTACTGTTTAAATAATTATCTTAGGACTTAAATAGGATCTAATGCCTGCATAATCATGGAATATACCTGGTGAGGTTAATAGGTCCTTTGCTTAACTCTCACCTGTCACTATACCTGTCTGATAGATAGAGACCTGTATCTCTATCTACGGTTACACTTGTTTGCCCTACTTATTCCTTCACATCCCCTCTTGGGTTGGGTTTATCCTCTCACACGTTTCTCCTGTCCGCTTGTTTTGCTGTGGAATCTGATCAGCCCTCTCTCCCTTCTTTTCTCAATTCTTAAACTCCCAACAAAGGATATCAGCAGAAATACCAAGGTACTTTTGCTCGCTGTGCTTTATTTCTTAAGGTAAGCTTAAATTGTTAAAAATGGTGTAATAGATGATCAGACTTGGGGTTTGTAGGCCATATGCATCAGAAATAAGACGTTTTAGGTGGTTTCTTCTACTTCAGTCCTGCTTTACGCTTATGGGAATCTTAGAAATCCCATCCGTGTCTAATTCTCCTGATTTCAGCATCAAGAGTGTTTTATATTCCAATGATGCAATGATCCAAAAGGAATAATTTTGAGAAGCTTCTAGTGGCATGTTGAGGCACTTGATATCGTATTCTTAACATGAATACCCCTGATTTGTGCCTCTACTGGTGGTTAAATACTCTCCTTTTCCAATCTTTACTTGCCAAATTGTTGCCTCATGTATCCCATGTTGCTGCTCTTCCTGTGATGTTTGACAGAGGAAAAACATAGAACCCAGAATTTATAAAAATTTCACTACGAATTCTCATAATTCTAAAAAAAAACATCATTACAATCACTGACATGATCTACTCTTAAGCTGTCTTCTGCAAAATTGAGTGCAGAAGAGAGCAAAAAAGCTAGCCCTGTTCTAGGCCATAAACAAAACAATTGCCTTTACATGTGGCATGGATGTAAAATGTGAATACAGATGAAGACTTACTAATAGATTCTTTTTGCAGCACCACCATTTTGACAAGTGGTCTTGCTGCACTTCCCATTAGGACAAATGCTTGCCAGGATTCTTATCAAGGCTTGGGGCATTTTAAAAAGTGATATTGAGCTCATCAAATGCAATTTTAGTCCTTTGATTGATGCATATCATTCACCCTTGGTACAAAATCTTGGGTCCTTTAAAAGAAAAAGAATGAGAATATGTGAAGCTGGTGGTTCTTGTTTCTTGATAGCCATCTTGCATGTGCATCCCTCTTCCTTGTTTAGTATTCTTTCATATACCCAGGATACTATAACAGAACTTCATTTAATGAACATGGTCATTAAAGAATGAGAATATTTCAAAATCCTTGTTCATGCATAGGGATATTTTAAAATGGTCACAAAGTACTAAATTCCCTTGTGGAATTTGAAGGCTCCTATATTTTTTTAAATAGTGTTTAGTTGCTGGATTCTGTTGTGAATGACACTCTTCTGTGGTGCCATTTCACTTTCTTCATCAGCATCTCTCTAGGATAGCATATAAAAGAAGAAGAGAGGATTACCAACTTTTGCTTGTAGTATTATGGCAGGGCTTGATGGTCAAGCTAAATTTGTTGAGGGTAGTGACTTCGTGGCCATCTTATCATCTCAAGGGATAGATTATCTTTTATCTGGTGAAGGAAAGGTATTCCCTAAGAAGCTCTCTTGTGCTGCAAACTTTTTTCCCTCTAAAATCCCTTTTCCTTCTCTTATGCTGCAGAGCTTTTATATTTTTATGTTTGATTACTGAAAGGTTGATGAAAGTGGAAAAACAAAATGAGAGTTTACTTAGCTGCTAAAAAGGAATTTTCCCTTGTAATGAAATAACTAAAATTCAAAATCTCGTTTTGATTTGAGTTTAGGTGCCCTTGTCATCATGTGATTGTAAGGTACTTTGCCTCTTCTTCTCGGCAAACTGGTGCAGGCCATGTAAAGCATTTGCTCCCCAGCTTGTGAAAATTTATAATAGCCTAAGAGGTACTGGTAAAAAACTAGAGATTGTCTTCATCTCCTTCGATCGCGATGAGGATGGATTCAAGGAACACTTCAAGTGTATGCCATGGCTTGCTGTCCCATTTGAAGTAAACTTGCATAGACATTTGAGTGACATCTATCATGTTAATCGCATTCCATCATGTATCTCGTTGGGTTCAGATGGAATATCAGTTGAAGAAGATATGATTGGATTGATTGAAGACTTTGGTGCTGAAGCATTTCCCTTCACCAGGGAAAGATTTGACGTACTGAGGTCTATCGATGATGCAAAGCGTCAGGGAGGAAAATTACAGCAACTTCTGGCACATGAAGGACGAAACTATGTTTTGTCAGGAGATACTAGAAAGGTGATTTAATTTTATCCCTGATTTTACAAATGGCAAGCCAGGCATAACTTTCACATTTTTTGACCTTTCCGCAGATATTTGTATCTGAACTTGCTGGCAAGACAATAGGCCTTTACTTTGGCGCACACTGGTGCCCTCCAAGCCGTGCCTTCACCACGCAACTTATCCAAAATTACAACGAGATCATAACCACCAATGATGGATGCTTTGAAATTATCTTAGTCTCCACAGACCGAGACCTTAAAGAATTTAATACCAACCTAAGTAACATGCCATGGCTTGCTATTCCATACGAGGACAGGACACGGCAAGACCTTTGCAGGATCTTTAACATTAAAGGGATTCCAGCTTTGGTCATTATTGGACAAGATGGGAAGATCATTAGCACAGATGGGAAAGCCATGATTTCCTTATATGGTGCCAAGGCCTTCCCATTTACAGAGTCAAGGATTACAGAGATCGAAGCAACTTTGAAGGAGGAAGGAGATGCATTACCTCGGCAAGTAAAAGATATAAAGCACCAACATGCTCTGAAGTTGGACATGGCAAAAGCATATGTATGTGACTGCTGCAACGGCCAAGGCAAGTTCTGGGCATTCTCTTGTGATGTGTGTGATTATGACCTTCATCCAGCATGTGTAGAAGAGGCATGCTCAGACTGTTTAATGAAAGTTGGCGATATTAATATAACAGCCTAAATGTAATTCTTGAAAGACTTGAATGAAGAATAAATTACCTTACTTTCCAAGAAAATTACTTGAATGAAGAATAAATTACCTTACTTTCCAAGAAATTTTTTTTACTTGTCTATTTATTTAATGTAACAAACTGATTTTGTGCAACAATTTAAGATTAGTGGATTAAGGAATCAAAGGCCTCGTATCTCTTACCCTATGCATGCCAATTAGGATAAAAGAACCTGAAATCTGATGGCACCTGAATGTCTGTGGTCAAACACCAGAGAGAAATATGTGGGGGGAGAGAATTTTGAGGATGGCTTGTATCGATCAAGTTAGTTAGAAGAGCAAAAAAACAAAAAAGTGAAAACAAAAGCCAGCCTAATTTAGGAAGACAGATAGGATCGCTGAACTTGAGGGAAAAAGGATATTACAGAACCACAAAGCGGTTAGGTTACCTTCCTTTCTCTCTGCCTATGGAGAAAGGAAGAAATAATCAAAGAAAAGAAAAGCAAGAACATCCCATTTGCATTAAATTTTTGATTTACGCACTGCATTCCTGAGTTTCCTGAAGAGAAACTTGAAGGTGATTAAAAGGCTCTCAGCAGCTTCCGATAAGACAGTAGAAGAGAAATCAATCTATATAACGTTTCAAAAGTCCTGTTATTAATTGCAAGGATAGAAATTAGTTTATAGAGAGATGTGGATGCCACCAAGGTCTATGCCGGAGAAAAGGAATGGAGGAAATGGATTAATTGCAGTGGCAATAGACAAGGATAAAGGCAGCCAAATCGCCCTCAAATGGACTATTGACAATCTTTTGGTGAAAGGGCAGACTGTTATTCTCATCCATGTCAATCTCAAATCATCTTTATCTTCATATTCTGCTTCCCCAAGTAAGGATTCAACCTTGTTATCCGTGCAGATTACAGATGCGAATTGAAAGTTGTCATGGATTCCATTTTGTAACTTGCTTTCATCATATTTTTCTGAAAGCATCATTTTAATTAACAAGAAATGCTATTTTCCTTACAAGTTATGCATAAAAAAGATGGAAAATTGGTAACAAATGAAATCAAATCATGGATTTTCATGCCGACGGAAAGAAGCCGTGCAAGAAGCAGTATAGCTTTGCAATGAATACATCTCTTTTAAAATAGTCTCACATAGAAGTTTCTTAACATGTTCCTGATCATTTTTATTGCAGGGCTGAACCACATTTCTGATTCCAATGGCACATCCAGTCCCGATTCCAAGGATTTGTTCCTTCCTTTCCGCTGTTTCTGTACACGTAAAGATGTGAGTGTGGAAGATGAAACCTTCATTTTCTTACAATGCACACTCAATCTTGAAAAGCCTAACCTGCAAGAAACATTTACCTACATTATTATCAAGAGTACATGTATAGTTTCTCTCAAATTCTTTATAAATTGGATTCACGAAGGACTTTTAAGAAAGCACACATTTTACATCATAGTCCTAAGTCTTTAAACTTCTGTATTCAACTTTGACATCAGATTAACTGCAAGGATGTCGTACTGGAAGACACGGATGTCGCAAAAGCATTAATTGAATACGTTACCCAGACTGCAATTGAGACTTTGATTGTTGGTGCGTCGGCAAAAGGAGGCTTTCTTAGGTATATACCTCTCTTGATAAATCACTAGCAGGAAAATTTATGTACCAGTACTTTTATATATGATATAGAAGATGAGTGTCTAGAAGTTAGATTTCTGAAATATTGCTATCAATTACAAATGCATCCATCTCAAATGCTGTGAAAGACAAGATAGACTAGCGTCAGACACTATGATAAATTGTTTTATATTTATAAATTAGCAGGTTGAAATGTGATAGTAGGCATGTGAACATGGCTAACAAGCTTTGCATTAGCAGTCTGGATGAGTGTAAAGACTAATGATATTATGAGAGCATAAATTTATTCCAAATTCCTGAACTTCCAAAAAATTTCTTCCTAGAAGATTCAAAGCAGCAGATGTAGCAGGCAGCGTGTCAAAGGGGGCACCAGATTTTTGCACTGTATATGTTATAGCCAAAGGGAAGATTCAATCCATGCGGGCTGCCTCCCGTTCTGCACCAGTTAACTCTTCATTGCATAACCAACTCAACCAAAACAGCACAACAACAGCTTCTATGGATGCACATAACCCCCGTACTCATGTTAAAAGAGGTCAGCGATTTTATTTTTTACTTCTTTTCCTTTGTCTTTATTTTCCATGCTCTAAGTCAGCTCCCACTGATCATCTTGAATTACCGATGTATTTTCAATCAGTAGCTGAGAAGCCACCACTGGAGCTACCTCGAAAATCAGTTGGCGATACAGAATCCTTCAGGTAAGGGATGCTCAGTGCTCACTGTCATTGCTTTGTAAGAGGAACAATGAAACTCTGAAACATATATTAACGACATAGCAAGTTTGCTAGTGACGAAAAGGCCTGAAATGTTTTAGAACAATTCATCCGGACTCCTATCGATGACCTTGTGTCTTCTATAGTACCCAAATGAGAAAGCAGAAAATCTATCAGTCTCTTAAAGGACTAACTTGAGAGATTTTGCAACTGAAAACAGGTCACCATTCACCAGAAGAGGTTTAACTGGAAAATCATATGGCGAACTCTCGGTTCCAGATACTGATATATCCTTTGTCAGCTCCGGCAGACCAAGCATTGACCGCATATTTCCAGCATTTTATGACAACACAGAAACAAACCGCACCCCTCCACGGCTGTCAAACTTCTCTGACATTGACAGCAACTACAGCTTTGAGTCATTGCATCATGGAAGGACGTCACTGGATAAAGGTGGCTTTTCACCTGAATTATCAACCTTCTCAAATGAAAGTGACCAGATGCCGTCAGCTGCGGTAAGAGCATTTAGCCATGCATTTGAAAATCAGAAATGTAGGATCTGCATTTTCTATAAACGAATAAGCTTATGTCTATAACACCAGAATCCTCAAATAGTGTAATATTAAATAAACACAGATCTAAAACTTGTTACCCTAGAAACAAACTAATCTGTAAAAAGTTCTAGTTGATTCTTGCAGATGAAAAAATGTTGCCCACCTTCCTGTAAGGCTGACAACAATTTCTAGTTTTCTCAAATGACAAGCAATCCACTGTCTACATTACTGTTTGTGAAAGCTAACAATTACATTCAATATATAGATGAAATGCAAAAAGTAACATGCGGTGCTGTAAAATCTCAGGATGATGTGGAGGCGGAAATGAGAAGGCTGAAGCTGGAGCTCAAGCAAACAATGGAAATGTACAGTTCCGCCTGCAAAGAAGCACTCACTGCAAAGCAAAAGGTACAAGAAATTGCATCTTCTTGTCATGCGGCCTTAAGAACCTCACGTAGTGTTCTGAGATAAACTTCTTTGCAGACAAGAGAGCTCCAGCGCTGGAAAATAGAAGAAGGGCAGAAATTGGAAGAAGCCCGGCTAGCTGAGGAAGCTGCATTGGCAATTGCAGAGAAGGAAAAAGCCAAGTCCAAAGCAGCAATTGAGGCTGCAGAAGCAGCTCAGAGAATCGCTGAGCTGGAATCACAAAAAAGGATTAATGCGGAAATGAAAGCATGCAAAGAAGCAGAAGAGAAGAGAAAGGCCCTAGATGCTCTAGCAAATTCAGATGTCAGATACAGGAGATACTCAATCGAGGAAATTGAAGCGGCAACAGATTACTTTTCTCAGGCTCTTAAGATTGGAGAAGGGGGTTATGGTCCAGTATACAAGTGTTATCTGGACCACACACCCGTAGCAATTAAGGTTTTACGTCCAGACGCAGCTCAAGGAAGGTCGCAGTTTCAGCAAGAGGTATGCGGCCCAAAGAAAATTCTCTACAGATGCTTCAATATCTGAAAATTTTCAAGCTCTTATTCTGAACCTTTTTCTTGAAGGAAAAATGAGTACATTCACTTTTCAGAAAGAAATTTCTCAAAAAAAATAAAATTATAAATTCATTTAACAGCTTAGGAATGACCCGTTGAATATCTTAACCCATTCGTGGTTTAGAACAAATCAACAGAAGTCCTTCTGAAACTATACCGACAACCTTCGAAAATTATCTTCAACTTCAGAGGCACAAAAGTTTTAGATTTTTGCTTAACCTGGTGAGAACTGGTTGCAGGTTGAGGTATTGTGCTGCATAAGACACCCTAACATGGTTCTCCTCCTGGGAGCCTGCCCTGAGTATGGATGCTTAGTATATGAGTTTATGGCCAACGGAAGCTTAGAAGACCGTCTCTTTTGCAGAGGAAACACTCCACCTTTGTCATGGCAGCTAAGGTTTCGAATTGCAGCTGAAATTGGCACCGGCTTGCTGTTCCTCCACCAAACTAAACCCGAGCCACTCGTACACCGAGATCTAAAACCTGCCAACATCTTGCTTGACCGCAACTTTGTGAGCAAGATCAGTGATGTAGGGTTGGCCAGGCTAGTCCCACCATCAGTTGCTGACAATGTGACTCAATACCGCATGACATCCACAGCTGGCACTTTCTGCTATATAGATCCTGAGTATCAGCAAACAGGCATGCTAGGCATAAAGTCAGATATATACTCTCTAGGGATCGTGTTTCTACAAGTATTAACCGCGAAGCCGGCAATGGGACTGACTCACCATGTTGACAGGGCACTTGAAAAGGGCACTTTTGCTCAGATGCTGGATCCAGCAGTGCCTGATTGGCCAATTGAAGAGGCAACATTGTTTGCTAAGCTAGCACTCAAGTGTGCAGAGTTAAGGCGGAAAGACAGGCCTGATCTAGGCAAGGTTGTCCTGCCAGAACTTAAGAGAATGAGAGCATTTGCTGAAGAAACTATGCACTACTCATTGTCATCAACTAGCCCAGTTGCACGCTCTCCAAAGTTTAGCCAAGTTTCAATGCAACTAGTAAGTTCACTAGAATTAATTCTGCATGAAATTAAGCCACTAGATTAAGAGAAAAATTAACATTAACTAACGATTATTGTTCTTTGCAGAATGACCATCCTTCTCCAAGATCCGAAGTAAGCTCAAGAAGCCCTCCATCCCTTGCATGAAATGTAACCAAAAAGCAAGGACTCTTAACAATAGAGGAAATTAAAAACATGGGAGTAGCTATTTTTGATACTGTGTAGATAATATAAACCAAGAAGAGGTCGTAAC